ATATAATACAATATGGATATTATTATGTGATCAACGAAAATTTAATTTCCTTTTTTCTTCTTTTATATTACTTGTAGTAAGTATGTCCATGGCATGTCTAATGTATTTGATAAATAATATGCATAATATTTTTAAATTACTAATTCAGTTTTTTAAAGCAGTTGAGGTAATTGATATTGTTAAAGAAAAATTAAAATTGTTAAAAAGAATATATATAAATAATTTTTTTTATTAATGAAATCATGTATATAGTGGGAAAATGTTGAATAAACTAAAAAGTAATATTTTTATTACAATAACTCTTTTTCATAAACAATATTTTTTGTCAACATCTCACAACTTTTCTTCTTTTTATTTTTCTCCTTTTACCAAGACTTTTATTGTTTACATTGAAACTGTGCGAGAAAGCGTAACATATAGTTGCTTCATGAGATAATATATATTCAGGAAGGTATATTCCAACAATAGACAATATTTGTCCTTAAACCTTGTTGATGACCATTGCATAGCATATATGTATTGAAAATGGTTTCCCCTTGAATTTTTATTTTTATTTCCTATATTTTGAACCCAATTTATTATTTATTTTACTTTTAATTTTATATAGCGAGAAAAGTATAATAAGATTCACAAACTTTAAAATGCATATACTTAATAATATATTAAAATAAAATAGTTGTATTTTTATTAAATAATAAAAGTTCATTGACTAAAATATCATAAAATAAATCTTCGAAACTTCAAATCAAATGTCTTTCTTTTGAGAAATAAATTTTCAAAATAACAAACTAGGTGCATTTTTAACAATATTAAAATAGATCCTAAAACAAAGTGCTAGAAATGAACTGAAAATTCAAAGCTGAAACTGATACACAAACCAAATGTAAAGGTTAAACCCTAACCTTAAGGGTCCCCTACCACCCCTGTCTTGGAGTATCGTGAGGGAGGTAAATCGTAGGTTATGCCTCCAAGGGTATAGGGTGGAAGGCTGCTTGTACACTTGCACTTACTCAAGAGCCAAATTCATATTTCAGGATTCGAACCCTTGACGCAACAGCCTCAAGCAAAACTGGATTTCTCCACTCTCCCCTTTTACCACTTGGAAATGTGCCCTAAAGGCATACACAAACCAAATGTACTTTAGCTTTCAAATGGTTGCAGCCCAAAATGTTTTTCTTCTTCTTTTTAATAATTGAGATTAAAATAATGGTATATCTCAGTAATACACTACATTGTTAGTTCATAAGATATGGGCTTCAATCATTGAAACACTTTTTTATTTTATTCATTCTCAACCAAAAAATTTTGGTAAGAGAAAAATTTTAAAATGTATTTTCATTGATCCATTAGTCAACCTCAAATTTATAGAGATAGAGACCCGATTAAAAATGAAAGTTTATTAATTTAATTTATTTAACATTAGAACAAATAAATTTTTTGAAAAAGAAAATACATATATTCAATTGAGCCATCAAAGTAGTTATTAAAAATTTTTTTTGTAAGTTTATAAACCATAAAAAACATAATTTAAAAGAATAAACATAATTTAAAACTATCTTTGAAGTTGAATTATATTAGTAACCAAACCAATTCAATGAGCGAAAATAAAAATTTAATTATCCTAATGACATATTTTTCTCTAAAGAAGAAAGACCTTCAAAACTAAATAAAAGTCAACTATAGCACATTAATTATTAATCAGCTATTTCCGAAAAAATTTCTCCTCTTTACTATCTATTGCAAAAGAATAAAGAATAAAATAATAATAATAATAATAATAATAATAATAATAATAATAATAATAATAATAATAATTTTTAAATAAATATGAATGTTACAACTTTCTTTCTAATTCGACATTAAGGCAAATAATTCCTAATTATTAGGATCATTAGTATTGGCAATAATCTCCTATATTTCCACATAACTGTTACTTCATCTTTAAATACTATCTTTTACATTTTCAAATAGAATTTTGATTCTTAATTATTCAATTATAATTATAAAAATATCATTATTTATAGATGAGCTTTGATTTTTAAGGGATTAAAACTTAATTTGATTAACATATAATTTTTATAATACTTCAAATAAAGGAATATAATTTATAATTTTTTTATACTTAATGAAGACTATGTGAAGTTGAATTATAATTAATAACTATATTCATAAATAAGGGCATTGCCGTCACACCATATATATATATATATATGTATATATGTATATATAAAGGTCAGGTTAAAATTAGCATTCAAAAGTTTCTCCACAATCCTTCCCTTTTAATTATTGTAGATAGAAGTAGTTTGAGTTTTCTTGACAATTAGCTTGCAATAAATCAGCATCGAACTCTAGTTCGAGTTTTCATCTTCAAGCTTGAAATAGCAACCACTAAATTTATCACTCTTTTTTAAACCTTGAGTACCCCTTAAAAACCAAGTTCAATTATTTCAAAGCACATATTTTAAAAGATAAAAATCATAAACTCCATCTTTAAACAGAGAAATTATTTTATATATCAATATTATAATAAACTAATTAAAAGAAGAACGTTAATTAGATTTTCTGAAAGAGAGTCAAATCTTTTTCTTTTCTAGGCTCCAACCTGCAAAATTTCTTCATAGAATTTAAGGGTCCGTTTGATTGTAAAGGTGTAATTGAATTGAAAATAAATTCTAGGAAATTGAATTGCTTAAAAATTATTTTCCTGTGAATTGTAAATTAGGGTCCGTTTGATTGTAAAGATGGAATTGAATTGCCTAGAATTGTTTTCCTGGGAAATGTAAATTATTGTGTTTGATTGGTATAATTTTCCACGTGAAAAATGTTAAAATAAAAGTATTTTTTTATGTCCGTTTAGCTTTGTTTTACATGAAAATCGTCAATTAAATTGATGAAATTTACTGGTATTGGAAATGAAATTTCTTTCCATTGCCAAAACCAAAAGTAAATAAATAAATAAATAAATAAAAATTCAAGGAAATCATCTATCTTTGGGTGTTTGTTTGGCTTTGTTTTACATAGAAATTGTCAATTAAATGAAAATATTTTTTTATAATAATTCTTAAAATTTGTTTCTATTACCAACAAAAAAAAATCCAAAAAAAAAATAAAAATAAAAAACTTGCTACTATGCCTGGAATTCCAATTCTCACCAGCCTGGAATTCCAATTTTCACCATATATGGTGAGAATTGGAATTCCATAAAAATAAGGAATTCTACAACTTTTAACAAAAGCAAGAATTGATTTCCATGAAATTTAAAATGCTATCAAACAACTAAAAAAGGGAAAAGAAGAAATTGAAGTTCCATGGAAATGAAATTCCATGCTATCAAACAGGCCCTTATTGTGTTTGATTGGTATCATTTTTCATGTGAAAATTGTTGAAATAAAAGTATTTTTTGATATTCGTTTGACTTTATTTTACATGAAAATTGACAATTAAATGGATGAAATTTACTGGTATTGGAAATAAAATTTGTTTCCGTTACCAAAAAATAAAAAATAATAAAAAAATTCTAGAAAATCATCAATCTTTTGGTGCTTGTTTGGCTTCGTTTTCGTTTTCATTTTACATGAAAATTGTCAAGTAAATGGAAATATGTTTTTACAACAATTCTTACAATTTTTAAAAAAATTCGCTACAGTAAATCGGAATTGGGTATATGGTGAGAATTCCAATTTCTTGAAAAGCTGGAATTTGCTTCTTCTCAAGACAAGTTAGAAAATGAATTCCCTGGAAAAAAAAATGGTATCAAACAGGGCATAGATGGAAAATGGATTTGATTTTCCATTTTCCATGAAAAATTTACACAATCAAACGGGGCCTAAGAGAATTCTAACCGTCATCCCATCCTATTTCAACAGTTGGTGCAAGGAAATTTAGTGCCAAACGCACACGGAACAGGGCATGTTTTGGTGGCACATTGGTAGTCATCAACTACCCTCAAGACTTCAAAAAGAAAGTGCACTGCCAGTTACAAACAAAAATATAGATTTCAGCTCTATGCTGAGCTATAAAGGAGAAAATGACAGAAACCGGAAAAATGAAAATATTTAATGAGGTACATGGACCACTTGAACAGCTAGAAATGGCAAATATATGTATTTTGTTAAACAAAATTGGATAGGCAGTTAATATCAACAGTGACACGAATCACAAGTGATCAGTACAAATAGTCAAACTTAGCTACAGATCCATCGTCTAGTCAGACAGCGATTGGTAATTGCCTCGTGCCAGCTTCCTGCAGAATTGACATGTAGGCCACAGTGCCCTCTTTTGTGTTTCATGAAAGAATCAATTCTCTTTTCTTTTGGGGCATTTTTCAGTTTTTCTCAAATTCAGAGTATATTCGGTATCAAGTACTGAATCATTGAACTCTAAAATGGATAACTCTCAAAACGGATAATATCCAGGGTGCCCAGCTTAGCAACTTGATGCGTCTAAAACTTTTAAAAAAGGGGCTGCTATCAATAAGTTAAAATCCATGACAACAGCAAGGAAAGTCAACACTGAATTCGCTTCACAAGAATATATGACTCTCAGGGCTAGATCTAGATGGCGGCGAGTTAGGGCGGCCCACTGGGGAGAATATTTTTTTGGCTAATAATAGATAGAATTTTTATATGATATATATTTGATAATTCATAGTAAGGGTAATTGGAACAAAACGTCCATATCTTTCATATCTATTACAGAAAACGTCCTTATTTTTCATTTTTTGACATTTTTGCCCCTATTTCCACATTTCTTGGCGCTGAACGTCATTTTCACCAATTTTGAACAATTTTACCCTCCTTTCAAACAATACGAAAAGAAAATAAAGGAAACAACAAATAACTAATTGCAACCACAATCCCCAATTTTTAAAAAATTAGAAATCAATCACAAATATAAAAGGAGCCGTGCCAGTTCAGGTCCTTGATCTCCGCCGCGAACTTGCCCCTAGGCCGCCGTCTTACACCTCTGTAATGACTCTTCTCCTCCACAGCCAAGTTGTCCTACACCATCGCCCCCGAGTTCAAATGAGTCGACTCGGAGTAGTCGATCCAGTTGAATTTCTTTACTTCCAACAATTCAATCTTCAACGAAAGCTTGCTCTCAGTCAATTTTTGCGCGTTTGGTGTAGTGAGGTCTATAACTGGAGGATTTAATTGATTTTGCCCCAAATCTACATACTCAGGGCTTGAAAAGTCGCTAAAATCAAAATCATTCTGCTCAAGATTCATAAAATAATCAGACATCGAAACTGAATTGTCAAATTGAGAGCTCGAAACTGACGAATTTATGCTACTAGTTCTTTCGATCTCAACAGCAAACGAGAGCTCTGTTGGAGAAAACTCCCCCAGAAGATGCATTCTAATTTGTTCAATTGCCAAAAATTCTGCTGGATTTGCCATCTAATGTAATTGATTCTAGCCAAAGAAAAAAGATAAAATGGATTTTAGAGAGCGGAAAACTTGGAAGAAATGGATTTCAATTTTCAATAATAGTTTGATGAGCCATTTCCAAGCACTTTCATATACAGTGCACCTTCAAAATATACAATTATATACAATCTTAAAAAAATGTATATGTTTATGACTAATTTGTAATTTTTTAAAAATTGGGGAATTTGATTGTAATTAGTTATTTGTCGTTTCCTTTATTTTCTTTGTGTTTTATTTGAATGGATGGTAAAATTGTCCAAAATTGGTGAAAATGACGTTCAGCACCTGGAAAGGTGAAAATAGAGGCAAAAATGCCAAAAAAATGAAAGATATGAACGTTTTTCACAATATACATAAAAGGTATGGACGTTTTGTGCCAATTATCCTTTATATTAACAAGAAACATGTCTGATAGTTCAGTTGGTTAGCCCTTCCACTATTAAATTGAAAGTCCTGTGTTCGAAATCTTCATGAGCAACATTTTTTAAAATTTTTGTATTTTAACAATTTTTACCAAAAAACAAATGAAAGGAAGGTGATCTGACCCCACTACCTACCTTAAACATATTGATCACTTTACAATCATGGTACTTATTGATTTTTAGCATATAAAATAACAAAATAATAGCTGTTCAATTTTACTGATTTAATGCAAGTAAAAACATTTTAATTGGTGCTTTGTACCTCTTCGTGATTTTCTTTTTCTTTTCTTTTTTTTCTCTAATCAATTGATTTGAAAGTTTGATTAATTAATGGTGGATGAATTTGTAGGAAAATTGACCTTAGTGTCATAAGGAATCTTTCAACAAAACTTATTTTATTAATAAAATGTTCCACTTTTCATCCACAAAAAATTAATTGAACAAAAGTTGAATCATACAAGCACATAAAATTATATAAGCACATAAATAATTTCAATTTTGTTAATATAATAATACTTGTTTAATTAACTTTAATTGTAAATTGAATATTGACATTTTGTTAATATATAGTGCCTATTTAATTGAAAAATAAATTAGAGCATTTTGCAGATTATGGAACAATTTTTTTTATCCAAAATGAAAGTTCGCATCTAGATCTAATTCTAGTGATGTATCTGATTCTTCTAGTTCTAATTCGTACTATTCTTTGAATATTATTTAATTAGATATTTAATAAACTATTCCGTTATCACGGATGTAGACCGTCGATAGTAAGCTTTCAATACTCGCGGTCCACCCTAGTGAAACTCGACCCATGGATTTGCCCCTGCTCACTTTTACGGTCTGACAATATTCTTTCTGAAATTTGAATTAAGATTCCCTATTAACTATTTGTACAAAATTCCAAATAAAATATGTTGTTTGACTAAATTAATGAATGACAAGATCAATACTAAGTTCCTTCCTGTTAAAGGAATTGAATCAATTTTGATCAATACAAATTTATTTACCTAAAAAAATAAAATAAAAATAAAAAAGGGGATGGAATCAAATAAGCTTGTACTTCATTATCAGCAAGGAGCGGTAAATACAAACTATTTTCCTTCACAATTTAACCGGGTTAAAGTTAATCATACAGCTCAATTTAGATCAAGAATGGAAAACTAAAGGTGAAGATAACAGCAGAGGAAAAAAAAAATGAAAATCTACAATTACACGAGGCAAAGATCAGAGTCATATCTGAACAGATCATTTTGCTGTAAAGACAAATGAGTTTGGCCATACTCTAGCGCTCTTCCAACCTAATCACAGCTCAGTGTCCTGTATTATAATATAAAATATAAATAGCACGTGAGGTTTTGCCCTTAATCCAACATTCAGTTATTGTTATTAAAACAGCTACATATGATCATCCACAAAATGGAGAAACTTTAAAGGATGTTAAACCATTCATAATGATAAAATGCCACTAATAATCTAATTAAAGTTTAAGGGGTTAATAATATCTCTGCAGAGAACTAACATCTCACACCACAGATTTTAAGTCTGCTAACAACTAATGTTTATAATTCATTTGAAAATGAATTAAAAAACGGTCATAATGAGGAGAATAACGTACCCAAAGAAATTAGCTGTCCACATTTTATCCAAACTGCGGCATATTAAGCTTTTGCAGAGTCCATGCCATTGCGTTTGCGTTTATTAGATCTCCAAAAGAAGCATATATGAGCCCAAGATTTCTTTTGCTTCACTGGTTGTGACTTCACATCCCTCCGAGCAACAAGATTGGCCATGTATTGGACAACAGCCTGTAATGGTTATTAAATCAATTAGTCTTAACAAAACTTCTTAAAAAGGAAAAGAAGCATAAAGGAGAAGCTGTAGATGCACTGTGTTGACACACGTATCAAACACAGCTTACCTGTGCTCCATTCTCAATGATATTTCTAGGTGGCACTGCCAGAGGATTTCCCTCAACATTTAAGACATGAAGTCGAGTTAGCATCCTGAAAGAGTCCGGAAGGGATCTTATTTGATTGTTGCTCATATCCAACTCCTCTAGCATCTCAAGATTCCCAATAGACCTTGGCAGAGATTGCAGGTCCGCGAAATTGTTGCTTATGTTCATCTTTACAAGTGTTGTAGCAAAGCACAAACTTTCTGGAATTGACTCGAGCTCATTGAAACTAACATTGAGCTCCCTCAAGCTTGATAAGGATGCCATTGTGGTAGGCAGTTGTTTGATGTTATTGTAACGCACTGTCAGTACTTCCAAGGATCCAATTTTTCCTACTGCTTCAGGTAGAGCTTTAAGCCGGTTATAGTCTGCATGAAGCTCTTTGAGTGAAGTACATCGACCAATAGTATGAGGGATTTCCTCGATATTATTAGTTTCAACATTCAATTTCTTGAGACTGACAAGTGATCCAATTGTCTCTGGGAGGGCCATGATTGCGTTAGAGCTTAAATCAAGATCTTGAAGCCGAATTAACTTACCAATAGTTGGAGGCAATGTTTTTATTTGGTTTCCACTGAGGTTGAGACGGACTAAAGTAAGCAAATCCCCAATGGATTCTGGCAATTCGCTGATTTTGTTTCCATGTAAATCCAACAATTCCAGCGATGAAAGTCGTCCTACGGTGTCAGGTAATACCAGGATTTGATTCTCTGATAAATCCAAATTTATCAAACCTAATAGCTTCCCTATTGAATCAGGAAGCCATTCAATTTGATCAGCCAATTTAGCTTGAAGATTGAGCTCCCGAGTTCCTTTCTTTGCTGATACTTCAATCAAACTAGCAACCTTAATTAAACTCATTTTGTCACCGTCTTGACCTACAAACCATACCAAATGATGCAACATTAAATCCAAAATCCACTAAATGAAAATAAATATACATCAGAATTGCCAATTCCAAAAACAAATGCTAGTCCCGTGCAGCAAATGAAGTCAAACTTACCGGAAGTAATAGCTGGCTTCAGAGTGGAATCAACAATCTGGGGCCCTGTTAGAACATCACCAGATCGAATCCCAATCCCAATTCCGTCAAGATGAAAATCAGTCTTTGTCTTCTTCAAATAACTATCGTCCTTGCTAAACCACTCCGACGCTTTTACTTTCTCCTTCTCAATATAAGAACTGGACAGGGAAGATGATGTGGCTGTGGCTGTGGTTGTATCCGTAGCTGGAGAATTGAGACTGTTGCCGGAGAAGGAAGCTGAGGTTGCCAAGGATAAACTGCTCAAATCCCTCGAAGAACTATTGGAAAGATCATTCGACTGTGTATTACTGGAACCCGATTTAGAAGACAAGCATTTGGAAACTCTCTGAATCGAATCATCGAACAGTAGGTGGACACGTTCAAGATCCAACAGTTTTAAAGCTTCCCTCTTTTGCTCCGCACTTTGAAAATGGATCAAATTCCTCTGAATCTCTTGAAGCACCTTGAATAATTCTTCTGGCACATCTTTGGCTTTGCTTTGCCTCGCAACCGCTTCGAGTCTCAACTGATCTTCCCTCTCCACGTTTCGGATTAACGTTTTGGCTGCTTCTACTTCATCGATTCCAGGTCGGGCCGGTAAGGATCTATGGATTCTCATTATCTCTTCTACAACCTCGTCTACTGTCATCACCGAGGACTCCATTATAACTTTCTTCTTACCTCCTAGAATTTCTCAAAGACAATAGTATTAACATAAACCCAAAGATATAAGTACAAGTAAATCAAATATTATACTACTACATACGTGGGAATTGCCCACAGAATCAAAAGGTTATTTTTCCTTGACTCGTATTTGAAGAAATTTCAGAAAAACAAAAAAGGTTTTAGCTTTCTCAAAGCAAAATCAGAGGAAGCAAACATGAACAAACAAGAATCAAAAGAGAAATTCCCCTGTTCTTGTACAACTTTCTAGAACATCACTATTAAAGTTGAAAATTCAACAACGACATCTTCAAGCAATCACTACAGTGTGTCATTACGACATTATCGCAATTTCTTCACTGAAAAAATATTATTAAACTGTTTTCAGACAAGAAATTATTTGAGAATATGAAAAATAGTAGAATAAATCATACTCACAGTGCTTCTCTGCTATGAATCAGAAATGCCTGTATCAATTGACGATGTTTTTGCAATCTGAGAAACAAAGGGAGGAAACCTAAGACAACGACGGTAGGATATAATTTATAAAACTTTTTCTACCATACAAAGAATTATCCAATGGATTCTGGTAAATTATGAATCTGAATAAACGCCTTCATATTATTGAGCAAAGCAAGTGAGAATTTGGTGGATAATTCGATATTTTGATCAAAGACAGAGACGTGAATATTATTTCTAGTTCTACGAACAAGATATATACGCGGCATTTCTTGTCTTGTTGTATTTTTTGGTTACCATAAATGCCCTTGCATTTCAAGGATAAAATGACAAATAAAAGTTAGGAGGGAAACCATAATAATAATAAGTGTAAATTTAAATATTTAAAAATTATTTGAAATAAATTAAATCGTTCACCCAATTTTTAAAAAAACAAAACATTAACCAGCTTCTATTGACTGTTTAGGAAAATAATGATTTCGAATAATATTTTTCTTATCAATTTCAGAAATAATGAATTTACAAGCTTAAATTTTATGATTGAACCATGCATTGATATTGTAAGTTTATGCTTAGAACATTTCAATTTAAGTTAAATTGAGATTTAAAATCAATATATCTATTATTTTTTTGGTTTGAAAAATGTTATTTTTATGTAACTAAAATCGTGATTTGAAATCAATCTCAACCATAAAAACAGTTAGTTTTGTTTGAAATCTTGGAGTCTACTCAGTGGAGTAGTATGCATCTTTCATTAGGTATGGATCTTAGCATAGAGTTTAACATTGAATTGATAAATGAGTAGTTTCTTTAATACAATTTATATTAATTATTATTTATTCCATAAAATGAATTAGCACCCAACATGATTAAAGAAAAACAGATAAAGTTTGGTATTGTGAAATATTATATAATACATGAATTTGAGTTTAACAATAATTAAATTATAATTTACAACAATATGGCCATTCTTAAATGCTTATAATTGTTTAAAATAAGTGCTCCATTTTGTTCTTACTATAAAATTTATAAATAAATTTACTTGTATCTTTACATTTTGGGAGCTTTTGACTATGGGGAATTAAATTAGTCCAATCAACTCCTATTAGGGCCCGTTTGATTAGAAAAAATTTTCTTAGAAAACATTTTTCATTTTTCACCTTTTGGCCCGTTTGTTATCCTCAATTGTAATAAATTATATCCCTTTAATTGACAATTTTCATGAAAAATAAAGTCAAATGAGCACCAAAAATTAAAAAATTTCAACATTTTTCAGATGAAAAATTATATCAGTCAATTCCCTGTAATTCATTTCATTATTGCAGTCAAACTGACCTTTATATTATATGGTTTGCATGAAATAATTCAAAATAAAGTAATTCAAGGTAGGGATATTCGTTAAGAATATATTATTATTATTATTATTATTATTATTATTATTATTATAAGCACATATGAATATTTTATAGAACCCCGAAACTAATCATCGTTTTGTAAGAGAAAAGGGCGTAGATGTCATTTCACGATCAGGTACAGGAGGCAAGTGGGCGATGAATACACGTTGTAGTGCATTATTAACATATAAATTTGATTATTTATATGTTAATGTCAATAGTTATCCTGTTAAGTTGTAATTGTCATGAAATCAGATTAAAGAATAAATCTTGTCCATAAATTTAAGTTTATTTATATGACTTTTTGTCATTTAGACTTTTCTTTAGTAATCCTTTTTACATTCCAATATATTTTTCATAATTATATTGATTATGTTTATGTGAAACTTTTATCGACACCATTCTGGAGCTCAATTCGTGTTAAATGAGATTGAAAGAGCCCCTATTTGTCTGTTTTTAAAACAAAACTCTTTCATTTTCATACTCATTTTCAGTCATATTTTCATAATAAAATATTTTTTTATGTAAATTCAAAATTTTTTCTTGATTTTTAACTACACGTTCTCTAAAAAAATCATTATTCAAAACGTCATTTTTATTTTCAAAATAATGACCATCAAATTGGGGCTCAATTTTATATAAAAGAAGTCAATGTTCGAATAAATAAAAAAATAATAAAAATTAGCGTGTAATCTAATCATAAAATATCTTCACATAGTCAATACAGTGGAAGTCGTAAGTGCATTCACGAAAGATTGGATAAAGTTATTTGTACATCTCCTTTTACCAATTGGTTGATAGATGGATTATGTGGCAAATTTATAATGATTGGATTGAATGTGTGAGATATGAAAGGTAGTGTAAGATTTTACCAATTATAAAGTCGGTAAACCTAAGTGTAAAAAAAGGGTGTACATGTAGTAAGATTGCGAAAATTTATGTGCCTCTTTGTATTCGTGAGAGTAGTGCAATTTATCACCACTATAATTTATGTGACTGTGAACTTACAGTTACACTGTCCAATAAAATTGAGATGTATTTTTATTTATTAGATAACGTGATAGAAATCACATTATAATATATATATTAGTAATGAATAGGACTGGATATAGTCTGATTCTAATCGATTCTTGTTCACTGTCACATAGTCCAATAAATTTGAGATTCATTTTTTTATTTATTAGATAACTTGATAGGAATCACATTATAATATAGAACTAGTGATGAATAGGGCTAGACATGATCTGTTTCAGGTCGGTTCTAACAAGAACCGAACCAAACCAAAATTTTCTAGTATTTAATAAGTGGAACCTCCGGTCCAAATTTAATTATAGAATCGTTTGAGTTCAGGTTCAATTTCATTCTGCTTGGTTCAATTTGTTTTGGCTCCATTTGATTCTCGAGTTCCGTACTATAATTAATTTTTTCTTAATATTTACAAAGTTAAATTAATTCAATTAATGACATGTTTAATTTTAACTCTTACAAATTAACGTAATCTCATATTATTTAACTTTTACATCTCTCTTTGTTGATATCTTTATGAATTTAATTGTTAAAATTATAGGAAGAGGAACATAACGAGCTCACAAAATTAAGAGAGGGGATTTCAAACTTCAATTCAATTTCTCGAACACAGTAAAAATGACATTGTGGTAAAATAACATATTTGAATAAAATTTAGGTCAATTTAATTAAATTGGACTTGGACTGAAAATTAGAAATAAGAAAATAATATTTTTGAGTTTTAGCTAAATCAACTAGTTAGTGTATTTATTTAAAAATAAAATAAAATAATTTGACTTACTTAAAATAAATAATTTAAAAAAATTACGAAGATTCGGTTCTTATTTAATTATTAATCTAGAACTAAGAACCGAGCTAAATCATTTGATTCTCAATTTAGATACACATTCGAGTATTTAACTTAAAAAGAATCGTTCGATTCAATTCGAGTCGAGTAGGGTTCAAAAGTTTTGTCCATCCCTAGTGATAAAACTCGTAGTGATAGATAGCATTAGTCATCCGTGCATACTTTAGATCGAGATGGATCCCACATAATAACTTAAAATATTAAAAAAGCAAACATTTTTTTTAGAAAAAATTCCTAACATGGTCCATCAATTATTTTTAGAATTGATGAATGGGTAATTATATTAACACCATAATTTTTATTTTTAGCGTTCCATTTTAATTGCACTTAAAGTTTTTAATCTTTGCTTATTATAGCACTTATATTTCTAACGACTTTTTTATTTCATTCTTATCCCCAAACTTCTCATTAATGAACACATTTTGTATTTGATAATAATTTTATGCCCAAAAGTCCATTAATATGGTATAAAACAACTTAATTTTTCATAATATTTTTAAAAAATAAATAAATAAAAAATGGGAAAAAAATGTATTTTCCCCTTATTTCAAAGTATGAAAATAAAATATTTTAATATAAATTATCATCAAGGACGGGACGTAATAATCAATAAAAGGTTGAAGATAAGAATTCAACAGAAAAAATAGAGGAAATAATTCCTACAAAAAACTCAACTATAATTAAAACAAGGTGTTATCAAATAAAAATTGTTGTAACAATATAGTCCCCATTTGACCCCTATTAATTTTTATTACATTATATTTTTCTCTCTCTTATTTTTATCTACACAATCTTTCATAAAATAATATTATACGTAAATCAAAAATTTTTCCTTCCTTTTCAACTACTCATTTTTCAAAAAAATATTATTCCACCCATTTTTAACTCTATAAAATGGGGGCCAAATAGGGGCATAATCATCGTTGATGGGATTTAAAAAAGAAAGTTCATCGATCCAAATAAATGAAGGACACGTGGTGTGATCCTGTAGTCGAACCGTGAACCAACTGGCAAGTCACGCTATAACTGTTTCTTGAGGATTCGCTTTTTGGCAGTTGGATTGTGCACCGGACATGAAAATGAAGTGTGTTTATCTTCAATGTTGGTGTCCTCGCCTGTTCCCAAACCATCCTCTCTAAAAATCATTCATTGAGCCCATTAGGCCCAGTTTTGGGCCCACTTATACCAACTACTTTCGTCATTATTTTCTTCGATCGCCTTTTATTTTTTTTTTAGATACTATTTTACCATAAATGATAAGATGTTTAGCCGCTATTAAAAAATAAGGAAAAAATTGGATTTGCGTATAAAATTATCTTATGATAAAATGTATGGTTGAAAATTAATTTTAAAAAAATAAATTTTTCGAAAAATGGAGCCTAAACATGAGCTTAATATTTTTTTCTCTAATATTGTTCCATGTATAGACTATGACACATTAATTAATAAGCAAATAGCAGTAATCCTTTGATTTTTTTTTTTTTTAAAGCTTAGGGCATGTTTAGCTAAACTTTAGCCCTTGTTTGATTTAACTAAAAATTAGATTTTTAGTAAATTTTGATAAAAATTGATGAAATGTATGAATGAAACTTGTGATTCATTAAATATATAGTTGGACATATTTTCGATGAAAAATGAATTTTTGAAAACAGAGACAAACAAGGGCAAAGTGTAAAAATAAGTTTTTAAATGGTGTGAACAAATGGGTTGGTACGATAAAATTATATCAAATTTAAAAAATTAGAAATTACCTCCCAAAGACATGGGAAAATAGTAAAGAATAATTGAAATTAATAGTATTCAATACTTTGCCTAGGCTCGTCTTCCTGATTGAATTTTGCTGGAGTGACCAAATTTCCTTGCCAGAAGGGATGACCCGCTCTCCCAAAGCCGCGGGTCCCGAATGGAATAAAAAAATACCGACCCCTCTGTTTGTGTGTCTT